GAATACATTTAATTGTAGAAAGGATTTAGAGAAGATTAAAGAGAATAGTTAACAAGATAAATTTTTTTTTCATTTTAAAATTAAAATTATTTTTATTACAGATTGTATACAGATTGTTGACTGCAGCCTTCTCTTGATATTCTTACTCTCTACCTTTGAAAGACCTAAGCTGCCTTTTTAATTGCAGTGCTCGGCTTGTTAGCGCCTGTTAGCCTTATATGACAACATCACTTGGTCCATAAATTTTTCTTTACCGCGACCTTCTTCCTTACAAATTTCTTACCCCAGCATTTACGCCTTGGCCTATGGTTAGTGGTTACATTTTTGTCTCAAAGCCGTCCTAAAAACCAAATCCCAAATTTTGGCTGAAAAGAAAAATTGTTGTGCGCAAAATTTGGCCTTTAGCAACCAATTTATACATTCTAACCCAAGTTCCGCATTTTTGGCTATAAAAAAAGAAAAATTCCGGGAAAATTTGAAACAAAAATGCATGACAAATGACGATTTCATGCAAAATAGCGATTATTAGCATCACAAATTTATAGCAGAGATTCGCACATAAAATAAAAAATTTTCGTGCAATTTTCGTGCAACGTTTTGTCGCATATTTTGTGCGGAATTGAGCATCGTTTGCGCTTGCCAAGGCAAAATTCAGTTTCAAGCAAAACTAACGAATTTTGCGAGAATTTAAACAAAATTTTTCCAAAACACATTCTTTAGGATTGAGAGTGAAGATAAACAACATCAATGAGAGTTGAGAAAACCAAACTGGGAAATTAAAATATACAATTACACAGAGAAGAGCCTGCTTGAAATTCTAGGCATGAAAGGAAACTTATTTAATTCCCCAGCTCGCTGCTGGATATTCTAAATGAACTGTACAATTGAGAACCAAGTGGTGTTGTGTTTAGAACTCAAATGTACTGCTAGTACATTGACCTCCCCCCTCCCCTTCCCTTTTTAAGGCTACCCCTCCCCCCAGAAATATTTTGCTGAGCTTCATGGAGGTGGTGGGGGAACGATAGTGAAAATGAAAAAAAAGTTTGTATGTATGTATGTATGTATGTATGTATGTAACCTATAGCTAGCCACACCTTAACAATAAAAATTCAACTTTTTAATAAAAAATATTTCATAGATAGTCACAAAATAAATTTAAAAGTAAACCAAAACTTTTAATAAAATGAAATTTCGAAAGAAAGTTGCTGGTGTGGGGAGGATGGAGGGGGGGAAATTATGAAACGTCATGTTATTTTTTTAGATGCGAAACAAAGGCAAAATTATGATAAATTGTAATACTATTACATACACATATTACTGAATGTATTTTATATTAATTTGCCACAAACTTAAATTTTCTGATTTCTATATCTTGACAGCCTGATGGTGTAAACTTTTTATATTTCAATCTTCAATTATTCATCTATAAGAATTCAAAGTTTGAAATATCTAAAATCTACTACATTTGGTTACGAAGATATTGGGATTATAAAAATAGAGTTTGTGAAAAAACGCTATTCCTTTTTGGACAAAAAGTATAAAAAAGTGAGAAAAAACTTGATATGTTTAAGTTTTCATTTTTCACAAAGGCATAAAAAAATCAATTCGTGAAAATATATCCCTGCTGTTCATCAATTCAATTAAATCCCAAATCAAGAAAGATCTCTGTTAACTCATTTTATCTGAAAACAATTTTTTTTTAATCTATACAAATATTTAATAATTAAATCGTTAATTAACTATTAAAATTAATTTACAAATTAATTGATTAAGGTGAAATTTAACAGATATAAAATGACATTAAATTTTCTAAACACAAAGTTGTAAAGACGACATTAAAATTTTGTTTAAGTTGTACAAGTTTTCAAGGTTAAGTGTAGAGTACAGTAAACCCTATTACACTGTATGTACAGTACACACCAGTTCACTGTACAGTGTACAGTATACACCAGTTCACTGTACAGTGTACAGTATACACCAGTTTACTGTACAGTGTACAGTATACACCAGTTCACTGTACTGTATACACCAGTTCACTGTACAGTATACACCAGTGCACTGTACAGTTTACATCAGTACACTGTAGATTGAACCGTACAATACAGTATACAGTACAGCTTGAGAGCGCTGTACATTGATCAGTATACCGCAAAGATAGGTGATTAAGGACAGGACTATTAATTCATGTAAAAAGTAAGCGTTCTTAAAGCTTGAAATTTGCCCCAGATATTGACACTTTTGACCAATTTTCAAAGGATGCAGAATTACTATCATTTAAACGTTTACTACTCCAAACACGTTACCAACCCTTTCAGAGGTTCCCTTTATAATATAGAAGAAAATGCTTTCTGATTTTAGAAACAGGTTGGTTTAAAGAGGGGATTCTATTAAAGCACTCAGAATTTATTTGCAACTTTTTATTTGAGTTCAGAAAAATCTGAAATAAGTAGAAAAATTCAGAGTTTTATTTTTGGCTTGAAAATAGGTTCCACCAAAAGAAGAAAATTGTACGTTTTTTCAGTCTGCTTTTACTCTTTTTTGTCAAAAGATGACATGCCAATTAAATAAAAATCATTTTGATAATATCTTCTATCATAGAACACGTTTTGCCTTGATAAAAAAGCCGACCTAAAGACTGTATAAATGGAAAAGGCCAAATTTTTAGAAGCATTAAAATAAACAAGGATTTCCAATGCAAATCAAAAACCCCTCCTCTTACTACCTTTATTAGAATAAAACCTGATAAAGTGATATTTAGCTGAAAGTACATATACGTGAAGATATACACACCACATGTACAATATAACATAAGTGCCAAGAAAAAACTACACACTCACTGTTAAAAACTAAACATTTGGATGAAACCAAAAATTGTACAATACACTGGAACAATCAATATGTACAAGACTTTTTTATTTTATAAATTATAAATTTGCGTTAAGGTTTAAAAACTATTCCTTTTATTCCTCTGAAAACGCTGCTCATTTTAACTGCAACTGCTTTTCAGAGTAAAAACAAAAAATGGAGAAAAGAAAAATGGGCGGAAAAGATGGAACACTGTGAGCGACTTACAAAATGAAGTTTGGGTGAAAAAATCTTTTTATAGCCCCTGCTTGCTCAGGTTGCAGCAGGGAAATAAAGTATCAGATTTTACACCCCTAGTTGCAGCAGGGAAATAAAGTAAGTTTATTGTCCCAAAGTTTGACGAACAAAGTCCCAGGCCTCGCTTGCACAGAGTGTCTTAGCCGCCTTCTTGGTGTGGGCCGAGGCGGAGTAGATCCGCCCTTCAAGGTTCAACTGCAGGGTATACTCAACCTAGGGATAGATAGATAGATAGATGACAGAATGACCTGGATGACCTGGATGAATAAATGAATAAATGAATAAATGAATAAATGAATAAATGAATAAATGAATAAATGAATAAATGAATAAATGAATAAATGAATAAATGAATAAATGAATAAATGAATACCCACCTTCTTAAATGAATGGGGTCCTTTCTGAACAGTCTCCAGCACATTTTCACTGACAACATTGAAGCAAGGATCCGGTATCTTTTTCTGAACAAAAAAAATGATCATATTTTTCCCCCCATTTTAAGGATTGTAAACGTAATTTTTAATGATTTTCTATGCAGAGATATCAACGCCCGATTCGGAAAAGTACCCATAACAGCTTTGTCTGTTCTAGTATGAATTATATATCAATGTTTATAATGTGGAAAAATGATTATTTTCAATTGTGGCTTATCTACATGAGACATGTACATTTCTACTACAGAAACACATTGTGAATAATGAGAATTTTATAGTTTTAAATCTAGAAAAACGGCAATAGCGTCCACCTTAATGATCAGATATAGGTTTCAAGGGTACCCTTGTAAATCGGGAACTGTCGTCTTTACTTGGAGGGTCATTTGAAATTACACTTAACCTCCCTTTAAGTATATTTGTAATCATAAGTGTGTGCAATTTTTATAAGCAAATTAATCAAGTTGAACTAAGATATCTAAGTTGATATCCACTAATAAGTGGTTAATGTTTTCTTTAAAATATCCTAATTTTTGGATTAAATTTAAGCCCTATGTCAGCAAAACTGGCATACTCATAATCCCGATTGCTTGATCTTGATATCCAATCTGGGCACTTTTAATTTGAGGATATATATATAAGCTAACTGGTTAGGATTTACCATGCGGGCTATCGAATAAAGATTAAATTAATCTGCAGATTAACAAAAGATTGATCTCAATTTCCACAAATGTACCAGCTCAAATATAGCTCGAATAAAAACATATATAAGAATGATATCTAAGTATAAAGAAAGTTTGTTTAAATTGAAACATTTTCCAATTTCCGGGTCCGAGACCCCTAGACTGGAATACACTGATATATACAGGGGGGGGGGAGGGCAACATCAGTGTTAAGGATCCGGAACATTCCATTTGAACCAGGATCCGGATCCTAGTGACAACATATCAACTAAAGTATCCAAAAATTCCGGTTTTCTCTAAAACCCCAAATTTTTAAGTGTTAAATAATGAATTATATCAGTGCTTAGCATCCGGATCCGGATGGAACATTCCATAATGACCTGGATACGGTTACCCGGATCCAAGTGGGAAAACATTTGTTTCTAAAAATGTATCAAATAATGAGATATATAAACAGGAGGAACTAAATCAGTGCTTAGCATTCGGAACATTCCATTGAAATCAGTATTCTAGTGGCAAAATATCTCAAAAGTGTCAAAAAGTGTCAAATAATGAGATATATACAGAGGGGGGAACAATATGAGTGTTTGGGATCTGGATCTGGATACGGAAATATATTTTTTACACTAATCCGGACCCAAGTGGCAAAACATTTTTTTCTAAAAATGTATCACATGGATTAAAACAAAACCTCCCTCCAACTGGTATGCTGAGGACCATTAATTATAATGAGGAGAATTGGAGGGGAGGGGAAGTTTCTCAGGAGGGATGTAATAAGGAAAATCCGAACGGTCAATGTAAACTACAATAATTTCGGTTATATTAAAAAAAACCAACTATAAGGTTGTCTTCAATATAGCTTCATCTGGTAAATGAGCTCTAAGATATTTAAACCCTGAACAAAATATTTCAGTGTATTAAAGGTATCTTAAGAAAAGTGTCTGAACCTTACACATTTTAGCCTTTAAAGACGAATAGTAGATAAAACTAGATTTATACATTTAATATGTGCTTCAAATTTTATTATATGAGGTTTAAATCCTGTACCATCATTGTTTATATTTTTTCCATTTGTTAATTCTAAATTGATAAATTTATCAGATGATGATGATGATTAAACAGAAAAGACAGGGGCGGGTATAGGATTTAAGTAAGGGGGGTGGTAGATTTATTACGGAACCATAAAATATTTTTCTGTTCTTTATTTTAATATTCCTTATTCATAACTTTGTTAAACTTTATCAGCAAAGGGTATAAGAGGAAGGGAGGACTAGAGATGGGAACTTTCGACTTTTTTTTCATTTCGTTACTTCATCGTTCGTGAAAAAACCCATTTTGTTCATTCATTGTTCGCGAAAAACCCATTTCGTTCCTTTATTGTTCGTGAAACCCCATTGTTCATTCATTGTTCGCGAAAAACCCATTTTGTTCATTCATTGTTCGCGAAAAACCTATTTCGTTCGTTCATTGTTCGGGAAAACCCCATTTCGTTCGTTCATTGTTCGTGAAAAATCCATTTTGTTCATTCATTGTTCGCAAAAAACCTATTTCGTTCGTTCATTGTTCGTGAAAAACCAATTTTGTTCGTTCATTGTTCGCGAAAAACCTATTTTGTTCGTTCATTGTTCGTGAAAAACCAATTCTGTTCGTTTATTGTTCGTGAAAACCCATTTTGTTCGTTCTTCATGAAAAACCCATTTTGTTTGTTCATTGTTCGTGAAAACCCATTTTGTTCGTTTATTGTTCATGAAAAAAAAAAAAATGTTCCCCACGGGCAACACCTGGCCCTTCAGCTGGTGGTATACAATAAAGGGGGTTAAAGGATGCAATTATTAATCTGTAAATAACAGATCACTTAAAATTTCGTCCTCAGCCCCTTTTATAAATGAAAGGAATATATTTCACAGCATATATATATAAATTTATATTTTGAATATATTTAACACATCTGCAATATTGTCTGTGGTAGACACACATCAACCTTTATGTTTATGTTTATGTCGCAGGACTGGGGTTTACATCTTCTATACGGGGGTTATAATTGAGAAATTTCAATTTAGTTTAATTTCAAAATATGTTTGCCTCCATGTTGCATTTAACCTCCTACTTCTAGAACGTGTAAAACTTCTCAGAGCTGAACTTCATTAAACAAAATATAAATTTTCCCCCATATATAATGGTATGTAATATGAGTCAAATTTAATTTTATAAAAAAACATCTTTTAAAAATATCCTACTCAAAGTAATATTTTTGCCATCACAACCAAAAAATTGTCCAATAGAGGTTGGGAGGGGAGGCCAGCTGGACATCAGTTTGAAAATTGTCTAGAATAAACGATCAAGATTTTTAAGTTTAATATCAGATCCTATTTATCATGTTTAAAGACTGCAGGAAGATTATCTTTATCAAATATTTAATCTCGAATAAATATATATATCAAATATTTAATCTGGAAAAAATATATTTAAAGTGTGTGCTAGGAATTGGTAGCGCTCATCGCCTCTCCCTTAAAAGTTAATTTTATTAAAAGGACTGTTCAGCAAATTATCATGTGACCCTCCATGCAAAGATGACAATGAATAAAAAAGTGGACATTTCTTCTGTTTAATTCTGATAGTTTTATTGCTATTTTTAAACAAGAAATGCTTATTTCACTTTCGCAAAAAACCCGCAAAATAAAAATAAACAGTTTAAAGAAATAAAAACATTAATAACTAATTCATACTTAGATCAGTCAAAGCTTTTAAAAGTGTTTAAACGGTTTTAAATCAGGCATTGCTCTCTTTCCGTCACTTTAAATTATGCTTACAGTCCCTTTAAGGGAATATAGTCTATATACATACTTTGCTTGTCCGTTTGTCTGTCTGATGGTTTGTACCTAATAAACGTCAAAACGGCTAAACCGATTGGGCAATTTTATGTTGGACCTAACATGACCCCAGTGAAGGTTTATGGATAATCAAAATTTCAAAAATTAGCCTCCAACAAAGTTCGATTTTCAATAAATTTTGAAAATCCGCGATTTTTTTTATAAAATCCGGGAACTTTTTTTTATATTGTTTTACAACTGTTCCCAATTTAGATAGAAGATGGGTGCTGTTTCCTCAGATTCAACTAAAAAGTTCCCGCTGTGAATTTATCAAGTTCAGGCATTGACGATAAGTCTTATCTGTTACGCCCAGGTACTTCCACAGAGTGACTGTTTTATCCAGAGCTTAGGATCCATTTAATTTCGATCCCTTTTCTGAATTCGGACTGGGAAATTCAGATCCTGATCCAGGTTATGAACAGTTATCAGCAGAAGAATTTTCGAATTATTTGTCTTACTTTTTTTCACTTATTTTTATGCAACAATTTGATAAACCATTCAAAGATAAGGACAATTTTAATAATCTCTCTTTTTTCAATTGTTCAGATTTGAGTGTTGAGAGCAAAGGATCCAGGAAACCAAAATGTTGCCGATCCAACAGATCCGGATCCTATAAGCACTGGTTGGTGTTATCTATGTATCTATTTGTTAGAAGATAATATTGACCAATAAATAGAAATTATCCAACAATTTCCTGATCAATTATAGGATATTAAGCAGAACCCGGGCATACATCATACATACAGGGTATTACACCAATAATAAGCAACCTCACAGAGATAGGTATTGTTTTGAATATTTTCCCCCTACCCCCGTTTGAAATACATTTTCTCCTTCCAAGATGTTAGGTATGTTTACATGGAAGAAAACAATTTTCTATGATTTTATTGACTGCCATTTTTTTTATTTTTCCCCATATACAATTTTTTTTATCGGAAAATCCTTTGATCAGAAAACATTCAGGTTAATTCTCATGAAAATAACATTTATGACAACATTCATAAACTTTTCTTCCTGAAAAAAATGATATTAATTGTCATAAAACTCAGATGCAAATTTTTTTTCAACAATGATCGTTTTTTAAAGTTCAAAGCAAGTGGTTCATTTGATGTGACCCATCGTTTTCTCTAAATTGTCTTAAGAAAAAACGAAAAAACTATTGCTTATTCGATCATTTTTTAAAAACAATTAAGAACCTACATGACCCTTGATAGTACAATTAACACAGTTATTCTTGATAGTCATTTTTAACGCGTGATCTTTCTGAATTCAATTACTATTAGTGATTCTTGGAAAGAATTTATTTATGTGATTCTTTAAAAAGAGTTTTTTCATATTTATTTTTTAATTTGATTCTTGAAAAAAATATTTAATTTACATTCTCTTTTGAAAAAAATAATAGTGAATGTCTTTCTACAAATATATCATTTAGATATCTTTTAGTGTCTAGCCTTCATAATACAAATTTTGATTGA